GTGGTGGAAAGAGGATAAGTTGTACACCATCCAAACCAAAAACTTTTGTGCATGAAAGGACTCTGTCTAGAAGGTGAAAGGACAAAACGCACAGGATGGGAGAAGCATTTGCAAATCACACATGGGATAAGGGTGTATTTTCCAGAATGCATAAAGAACACCTACAAGTCAACAATGAAAGCACGAACGAACAACCCAGTTAAAAAATGGGAAAGGACTTGAACAGACGTTCCTCCAAAGTGGATGTGCAAATGGCCGAGAGGCACATGAAAAGACGCTCAACATCATACACCAACAGGGCGATGCAAATCACAACCGCCATGAGGCACCGCTTCGCAGCCAGTAGGCTGGCTCTTCTAGGCACAAGGAAGCAAAACAAAGGCAAAAAGACGAGTTCGGGCGAGGGTGCGCAAGGACTGGGACTCACACACTGCTGCTGGGAATGCAAAGCTGCTGTGGGAATCCGCTGGGCGGCTCCTCAGTAAGTTACCGGCAGAATTAGCACCCGACCCCTCAATCGCAGTCCCGGTGCAATTTCCTACCCTAGGGAATCAGAAACAGGTGCTCAAACAGAACCCTGTGCAGGAAACGTTCGGCGCAGCGCTGTTCACATCTGCCGCAAGGTGGGAATGGCGGAGCTGCCTGTCAACCCATGAACTGGGATAGGCCGCCACACACGGTGTGTCCCTGCGGTGGAATATTACTCAGCCGTGAAAAGGCTTGAAGCGCTGACTCACGCTCCCACACGGACGAACGAGCCCTAGTGACAACGCTGCGCTACGGGAAAGCAACCAGGCACAGAAAGCCGCCTATTCGCCCAGCGATCCCGCGTGCAGAAAGAAGTAAGTGTCCGGGACAGGCGAACCCCTATGGGCAGCAAGCCGACTAGCGGTTGCCTGGGGGCTCCCGAGGACGGGGGTGGGGGGGGAGGGGGGTGCGGTGAGGACTGGCTGCCTGACACGTACAGGGGTTTCTTTGAGGGGTGCTGCCACGGTTTGGAACTAGACGGTTGTGGTGGTCGCCCGACCCCTCTAGTGTACACTCGGGGCCGCTGGCTCCTACACGGGTGTTGTGTGTGCACAATGCGCCCGCCCAGCCAAAAGCCAGCGTTCCTTCAAACAGGGGTTCCAGGGAGCAGGCTCCCGCCCAGCACTGTTTCTCTGCAGCGGGGGCCCATGGGAAAGCAGTGACTTCACCGGATGTACGTGTCCCAAAACGCGCACCCGACCAATGATGGGGTCGGTCTGTGATCTCTAGGATATAGAGTAGTGGCTTTGGAACGCTGCCGGTTGGAAACTTCGGGCCAACTGGCTTTTTACACCGCTTCCCGCCACATCGCACCATATCCAGCCCTATCCGACCGCATCCAGCCGCACCCGACCGCATCCAGCCGCGCCCGACCGCTTCCCGCAGCGCACGCCAGACCGAGGCCCGTCCGAGAAAGCGCAGCCGAGGCCCAGCATGCCTGTGAGGAGGAGCCGTCGAGGGTCGTCCAGTGGCCAGAGCCGGGTCCGCTCCCGCACTGCCTGAGCCGAGTTGACGTTCTCCGTGAGCCACGTGGAGCGCCTCCTGCGGGAGGGCCGCTACTCGCAGCGCCTGGGCGCGTCCGCCCCGATCTTCCTAGCGGCCGTCATCCAGTCCCTGACGGCCAAGGTCCTGGAGCTGGCCGGCATCGAGGCCCGGAACAGCGGCAGGAGGCTCATCACCCCGGATGTCGTGGACATGGTGGTCCACAACCACCCGCTGCTCAGCGCCTTCTTCCAGTCCACCATCATCTCCCAGGTGGTCCGGGGCTGGAACTAGCTGTCCCACGCGACGTGGGGTCCGGCGGGCGCCAGGCCTACTCGTGGCCGGGGTGGGCCCCGGCCGGCCTGGTGCCTCAGGCAGTCACTGACAGCCAATAAAGTGTTTGGAGAAACCCGTGTGAGTGCTTCCGTCGCTGGTGTGTGGGGCGTGGTCGTGGGACGTCCCTCGTCGGGGGTGGGGGGTGGGGTGGGGGCGTGGGGCGGGGGTCGTGGTCGGGGAAGACCCAGCAGAGCAGCTTGTCTCGGGGATCATGCAGGCGGTGGCCCTGGGCGGGAGAGGCTGGCTCGAGTGGAGGCTTTGACGGGAGGGGTGACGAGTGACCGGGGCGGGGGGACCTGGCGAGCAAGAACCCTGCCAGGTTGGAATTGGGGTCACGCGGGACGGCGAGCTGGGTTTCAGGCCGGTTCGGTTACAGATTCTGGGAGACGCCTTCGGCCACGCGGGTAAACAGGCCGTCACCCAGCCACAGGGGGCACCTGGCCAGGCCCCGCCCCAGGGTCCACGATTTGCACACACGACCCGCGCGGGGCGAGGCCTCACTCCTTGGCTTTCTTATGTATCAACTTTACCCCTGGAAAAGTTCTTCCCCCAGAACCGTTAATTTGCATAAGTATCTTGCACTAGACCATAGGGTCTCAAAGCCAGAATAATGGCTAAGTGTGAGTCCTAGATTTTTTAGTGTTATTTCTTTATGCTTTATGTCGTTTGAATTTGATCAGTAAGACATTTTATGCCTACTGCTTTCCTGCTATGGTACTGGTGTTTCGCTGAAACTTAAATTTCTTCATTTTTATAATGAGAGCATACTTGCCCTCCATTTTAGAACAGTGATTAGAAGAGTTAAAGGAAATTAAATGTATAAAATTTTATACGCATACCTATGTATATATATAACAAAATTAAATGTGTAAAATTTTATATGCATATATATATATATAAAATTATGCTAAAGTAAGAATTTACTAAATCTTAGGGGTGATACTGTATGCAATACATGATGCTGTTATTTCTTTTCTGTTTTTTTATTTTATGTTTTACATTATACAAAAAATCAACCTCTTTTGGAGCCCAGTTCTATGAATTCAACATTTGTATACATATGTGTATCCACCACCACAGTCAGGCTATGGAACAGCTTCGTCAACACAGAATAGTTTCTGATTGGTACTACTGTCCCTTTTAAGTTGTGATTTTTGTTAAATTAACACTTTTAAGGAGAGCCCCGGGGTGCCTGGGTGGCTCAGTTGGTTGAGCGTGGGAGTTTGATTTTGGCTAAGGTCATGATCTCACGGTACATGAGATCGAGCCCCACATGGGTCTCTGAGCTCCCAGTGCGAGTGTCTTTCTCTCTCCCTCTCTCCGCTTCTTTCTGCTCCTGCCCCGCCTTCTCCCCGCCCACCCACCCCCCGTCAAAATAAATACACTTAAAAATTTTAAGGAGAACCCAGGGTAAGTGTGTGCGATGGTGAGCCAAGTTTCAACAGAGACTGAAAGGGAAAATGAAACGGAGAGGTGTATTACTCGTAGCTCCTGAAGAGGTACACAGCATGCCTGGCGGGCCACATGGGGAGGTCAAGGCAGGGCATAAGCAGAGAGGGGGCAACAGGAACTGGGCATATGCCTTTACTAAGGTTCATAGGTGAAATCTTTCTGGGTTTCCAGGCTCAGGCTGGATTGACCAATTCAAAACAAACAAAAAAGAATGGTGTTTTGTTAAGCTCTGTGGAAGTCTTATCTAAGGGACCCACAAAGGGAGGACCTGGGAGGCAGGAGAGACTAATACTAGGGTGATTGGGGAAGTCTTGTCGGGTTCTTACACTTACTTGTGACTCAGCTGGTTGTCATCTAGGGCATGCACTTGAGGGTAGGCTCTTGTTTTCTCAAGACCCCTGCATGTCACTTATCCACATAAAATGAATGCTGAAGCAGTTGTATTTTGGAGGAGTTTAAACTCACATTAGCGAAACTCTTTCCTCAGACCTAATCTTGAGAATAACCACTGCTCTGTTCTCCATCTCTGTAGAACTTCCTTTCCCAGAACATCTTGTAAATATATTCATACAGTATGTCACCTTTAAAACTGGCTGCTATCATTCAACATACTGCTTTCCATGTTTATCTAGATTGTTCAACTAGAATATATCAATAGTTATGTTTTATGTTCAAGTATTATTCCATTATATGGGTATATCACAGTTTGTTTAATCATTTGCTTATTATAGGATATTCTGGTTTCCAGGTTTGGGAAATTTTGAATAAACTGCTATAAACATTTATGGACATGATTTTGTATAAATATAAATTTTCATTTCTCTAGGCTAAATACTAAAGAGTTGGACTGATAAATCACATGAAAAGTTTTTTTGGGCCCCTTCCCAATTAGTCTCATCCTCATTTCCTATAGGCAACCACTGATCTTATTTTTTCCTACCCCATATTAGTCTTGAAGTTCTAGAACTTCAGATAAATGGAGTCAAAAGTGTAACTAATTTCAGTGAAGCTTGAGATTCAACCATATTTTGCATGTATTAATGATCCATTCCTTTTCATCAGTGTTATTCAGCTGTATTAAACCACACTATGTTTATACATTCAACTTTTTAAAAATTTTTTAATTGTTTATTCATATTTGACAGAGAGAGAGAGAGAGAGAGCAAGCAGCAGAGGGACAGAAAGAAGGGGAGACAGAAACTGAAGCAGGCTCCAGGCTCCAAGCTGCCAGCACAGAGCCCAACGCGGGGCTCTAACCCACGAGCCGCAAGATCATGACCCGAGTGGAAGTCGGATGCCCAACCGACCGAGCAACCCAGGTGCCCCTATACATTCAACTTTTGATGGACATCTGGCCTGTTTTTAGTTTTTTATTATTACGAAAAGACCTACTATAAATATGTGTGTTAAAGTTTTTGTGTGCTAATATGCTTTCATTTCCCTTGGATAATTCCTAAAAGTGGAAGTGTTAGGTAAAAGGTTAGGTGTATATCTAGCTTTATAAGAAACTGCTTAACTATTTTCCAAAGAGTTTGTACCCTTTTATACTCCCACTATGTGTGAGGGTCCCAGTTGTTCCATATCCTTGCCAACATTTGATGTTGCCAGCTGGTTAGTTTTGGCCATTCTACATCAGGTAGATAAATAGTGATATCTCATCGTGGCTTTATTTTGCAATTAACTAATGATAAAAGATCATTGAGCACATTTCAATTTGCCACAAGAGTGATGCTAAAATCTCTAACATGATGGGAATTTTTCTAATATCTGAATAACCATTCTAGCTTTCTATGCCTTCTGTTTTTATAATATATATTTATATATTCTACTTTTTAAAATATTGTTCTACTTTTAATCTTTGTGTCTTTATATTTAAGAGTATCTCTTTATAAAATTTTATTCTATTTAGGATAGACCTAAAAGATCTACCCCCTTGATAAATTTCTTTAGTGTATAATACATTACTATGGATTATAGGTACAATGTTATATGGCCAATCTCTAGAACTTCTTAATCTTGCTGATTTGAAGCTTTATGCCCATTGATTAGTAACTCTCCATTTCCCCCTCCCTTCAGGCCCTGGTAACTACCATTGATCAATTTGACTATTTTAGATTATTCATGTCAGTGTAATTGTGCATTATGAATACCAGCTATGATTATGTGATCAGTTACAGAAACAGGGATTGTAATTGACATGAATATTTTCCCTTCTTTTGTTATCAATGTTTGTAAGTTTGTATGCCTAAAATGTGCTTTCTTCCCTCACTTATCCCCCTATAATATGGAGTGCACCGAATTTATATCATAGTATTTAAGTATTAACTTTACATCATAGTACTGAAGTTCAGAAGAGCAAATATTACTGAAGGACTGTGCATCCTCTACTGGGGAAAGGGGTATTGTAGTTTTGGTTGTACACAGGATCGTTGTACCACATTAGGTCTAAGTAGAATCTTGTTATTATCTTTATTAAGAGTTTAAGAATGTTTTAAGGAGATGGGTCTTGGTGCCAAGTTGATAAAGGGTGTACCTGTGATGGTTAATTTTATGTGTCAACTTGACTAGGCCACTGTACCCAGACATTTGGTCAAACATTACTTTTGATGTTACTGTGAGGGTACTTTGTAGTTGACATTAACATTTAATAAGTGGGCCTTGGGGTGCCTGGGTGGCTCAGTTGGCTTATGCACCCGACTTTGGCTCAGGTCATGATCTCATGGTCTGTGAGTTGGAGCCCCGCGTCAGGCTCTGTGCTGGCAGCTCAGAGCCTGGAGCCTGCTTTGGATTCTATGTTTCCCTCTCTCTCTGCCCCTCCCCCACACTCTCTCTCTCTCTCTCAAAAATAAGTAAACATTAAAAAAATTTTAAAAAAATAAGTGGACCTTGAGTAAAGCAGATTACCCCCCCACATGTCAATGGGCCTCATCCAATCAATTAAAAGCCTTAACAGAGGGGTACCTGGGTAGCTCAGTTGTCGGGCATCCAACTTTGGCTCAGGTCATGATCCAGAGGTTCATGAGTTCAAGCCCCACATCAGGCTCTGTGCTGACAGAGCAGAGCCTGGGGTCTGCTTTTGATTCTGTGTCTCCCTCTCTCTCCACCCCTCCCCTGCTTGTGCTCTCTCTCTCTCTCATAAATCATTTTTTTTAAAAAGCCTTAACAGAAAAAGACTGACTTCCTTGGAAGAGAGGAATTCAGCCATTAAGCCTGCCAACTGCCTTGGGACTCCAAATGCACCTCTTTTCTGGGTCTCCAGGCTACTGGCCTATCCTGAAGATTTGGGGCTTTTCAAGCCTCCACAGTCTTGTGAACCAATACCTTAAAATCAATCTTTCTGTTTGTACATACAAACATATATATATGTGTATATGTATGTGTATATAAACATATGTAAGTATCCACACACATATACATAGAGAGATTCTATTCATTTTATTTCTCTGGAGAACTCTAATGTTGTTCATACATCCAACACTAAGGTTTCTAGTAATCCTTCCCTGCCACTTCCTCAAGGCAAGGAGTTAGACCAGAGGCCTAAGGAGGCTTTTCCTGGAGCCCAAATCCAAATACTATCACCAGCCACATTCCATAACTCCTAAACATTTTTGTCATCAAACAGTAAGG